AGAATCCACCAGGCCTGAATGAAAACAACCAATCAGAGCAGAGAAAGATGGAAACACTTTGTGTTGGTGGCATGAAGATGATTGATTGTTGTGTCTCATTTGCAACATTGGTATTTTAGGACCTGGGAATGAGACTTAACAATTAACTATGTACTTTACCTATCTAATATTAGGGAAAACTGTCATAGTATAAAGCATAAAATATTAGGTTATAATGTAACCTAATTGAAAAAGAGTCCATCCATGCATTTTTCATTCTGTGTCCAGCAGTATTGCAGTTGTGAGCACAGATCATTTTTAAAGCTCCCCTTGGTGACGTATTTAAGAACACTCCTTTGACAGTGAGTAGCCAAAAAGCATGACAGTGTAAAGATTTAATTTTAGGAAAACAAACAACATTGACCTGGACAAAATAATCTCACCTCAAGGTCCACTCAGAGGCTGTTCTGGAGCTTTTGATCATATCACACAATCTTTCTCAGCAACTTCCTGGGCAGCTCCATCTGCCGAGGAAGATTGGTGGATAAGATTAAGAGTTCCATAACAGCTTTTTGTCAGCTGATGCTGCCACTTCTGCATGACCCTGATCCTCATATGTATGAAACATCAGGTGCTCTAAATACACATCAGTTATTAATGGAAGAGGATGGGTGTGGTGTATTTTATCCACAGAGGGGCGCTGTGATACCAAATGTTACATATCCAGTTTCATGAAGCTGAATATGGATCTTGATGAGTCTCGTTTTCCTGTGGTTCCTTTCATTTACTATTCACTCAATACTGTACTTAAGTAAAACCTTCAAATACTTTACTTGAGTGTTTCAATGTTATGCTTCTTGACAAAAGGTAATGTCAGCTGACCAACAGCTAGCAACCAGCTAGCTTAATGTTATGTTCATAACATCTGTAATGTTTGTAATATCAGTGTGAGAAATTTGTAGCTTGCTAAATAGCTAATAAACACATATCTGACTAGCCACAAGGTGCCCCCACCTCTTAATGTAAGTGGTTCTTGGTTCCAGACCAACAAAGTTTCGGTGCCACATTGGAACCAGCTTTTATGGCTGATTCTTTGGCTGTTGAAACTCCAAGAATTGGTCAAGGATTAGCCACCAGCTCCGGACCCACCATGAAACCTTTCTGGGCTTTTTTAAAACCTTTTTTTAATAGGATAGGTGGAGATGGACAGGAAAGCAAGGTAGGGTGGTTGAAATGCAGCAAAAGGCCACAGGTTGGAATTAAACTGTGTCCATGATGGTAATCTGGTATCTTGCTGATGAAGCAGGTCATCCAGTTGGTCACATATTAACATTTTATTGTAAAATAAAATGTAAAAAACAGTTTGTTTTGTTAGACCAATAAGTCATTTGTAATGTGCCTGCCATGGTAAGTGTTTGTAATCTTTCAGAATGGAAAAGAAAAAAAGTAGAAAAATGTACAATTGTACCCGTTTATTTAATGTGTTATAAATTCATTTCATGAATACTATCAGTAGTGGTTGTGTTGTGCTTGCTGTTCAAGTTCAGAAGCATGGTTCTTGTGCTGCCAAAGAGACTGTCCCAGAGGGAGGCTGGTACCAACAGTGTACACACTGTCAGTGATGCATGCAGGTGCTACCAGGTCCAGGTCAGCAGCAGCCAGTCCTCAGAGGAAACACGGCTCCATAGCAACCAGCTAAGCTGTTCAGCACAGCACACAACACGAAAGTGCAACATATAAAGGTTTTGCTATTCTTAGAGCCATAACACTAGTAGGGGTAAAAATGTCAAGTTTATCCTAAGGGTGGTGTTAAAAGACAGGTCATGGGAATGTTAAAATTCAAAGGTTTCTTTCTCTGGAGAACATGAATGTGCACAGCAAAATCCCCAGCAATGTCCACATCTGATTGTTAGATATCCTGTGTGAAAATCCAGTGGAAAAGGCTCATCTTCTGAGTAATAAGAATTTGCTGATGGCTAGAAATCTTGACAATGCATCCATCTATAAGATTTTGGTATTTCTTGTGCACCGCTGAGAGTTGACCTGATGGTGACGTTACTGGAAAGTTACAGGTCACGTAAAGTTTCAGGATTCAGCATCTGGGGACTATGAACAGGGTGCCAACTACAGGGGAGCCACAATGAGAGAAATTTTGGTGGGTCTGTGTCTTCGTCATGGATCATGTGTAAAATTAGGCAATTATTGATGTATGTTCATGCATGAGGGCGATTCATCAGTGATCACTAATTCACTTTATTTAAGATACAGGCATTCATGCTATTCTTGCCATCACCACTGAAATGTGGCAATAACTTCACTAATTATAACTCAAAGGGTTAGGTAAGTTAGATCTGATATATGAACTTGAGTCATGTGGTCTGTGAACGCCAGACCGAGTCCACGCACAGCATCCACCAGGAGCTGACATCAAGGACATTCACATCTGACCCAGAGACCATCTTTGAACAGACAGAAGTTACCACTCTCCCCACACACAACAATCATATGACTGACGTCCAACACTTATGTAGGTCATGTAATGACATCTGAGTCAGTTCCACTGGCTAAAAGAACAGCCGAGCAGCATCCCTAGCAATTATGCCCACATTCTGCAGCTCATGATGGAGGTGCAGTGCCAGTGCAGGCAGCAATGTGCCTTTTATGCAGCCAGACAGATGGTAAGGGCATGAGGGTCGGGTGGAGGAAGGACGTGTAACATTTCTGACTTTCGTGCAGGGGACTGCGTCTCACCACAGACCTGCAAATCGTGTTTGCAAAGAAATCAACAGTAACCATGCTTTCTTGTTAACAGTAACCAAATGCTGTAGTTGCCTAGCTTTACTCTAGCCGTGCAGATATTACAGAAACAAAGAATTACACTTTCCCACACTATGTTAAAAATATAGAAATAGGGAGGAAATTTGAAAAAAAGTTTACCTGAATTCCAAAGTTGAGCAGAAAGGGAGAAATTAACCCTGATTCTAGGGTAAAAGAAAGAATGTGCAGTGTCTGTGTCTGCCAAATATGTCACTTCCTGCCACAAAAAAGACAACCAGTGGAACATAGATATATATAGACAGACATTTATAAATATACATTATAATATTCTACTTACTGTCACATCTCCATTTGTTTGACTGCTTTTCTTCTGTTGTCATATTGAAATGTTACTCATAATAACTTTATTTATTATTTATTATTACATTACATTTATCTATTGCATTATCTGTTATATTTTATATACCTATTGCTATTCACATTTTTGTTAATTTCATTTCATTTTAACATTGTTTTCATGATTGTAATTGTGCTTTCACATTTTAAAGTATTTCAGGTTCATTATCCATGTTTTAGGAGGGTGAAAACTCAAAATAAGCTCCAAAGCAGACTCAGACCTCAGATTATTGGTCACACATAATAGTCCCAAGGAGCTCCAGTAGATGGCACCATAATCACAGAACAGAACGGATGATTTAAGGCGACACCTGTGTTGCAGTGAGAGGAACAGAGGGACCACGTAGAAGAGGACGTTCTGGGGACCTTGCACAACACTTCTCTAAAGGTGACAAACTTTCACAGAACATTAGGGACCTTCCTACAATGTCCCTTTTTGGCTATGCCCGTGCTGCAATTCAAAGTTCCCTATGACTTTAGGAGAACTCACATTCTTATTAAAACATAAAAAAAACAGGACATTTGGGACATAAACAGAATGATCAGTTATTTTTATAAGTTACATACTGCAGCTTTAAAACTCACACAGAGTCTGTTTGCATAAACCTACAAAATAAAGTTTCAGCTTGAACAGCTCTAGGCGATAAAGGTCAGACTAGATCACAGAAAATCTTGAAATCATTCTTTAATATTCAACTTCCAAATGGCTCATTTTGCTTTAATTCCTCTGCCTACAACAGCTGGTGTCACTCTTAAAAAGGAGAAAATGTCAGAGACACCTTGTGTGGGGGAAGGGTGGTTCCCTCCCTCCTTCTCTCCCTCTCTCTCCCTCTCTCCCCAGTAACACACACTCCCTCCCTCACACCATCACTGGCCATCAGCAGCAGCGTCTGACGGCTGCATCCCTTTGCTGTAGCAACGCGGCTCCCTCCATCCTCCTCCTGCGTCGTCTGCATCTGACATCCCGACCGCAGGAGCCTTTTGTGTCTCCACGGGGGCCATTGTTGTTCCTTCCTTTTTTGGAGAAAGAACAACACCATGGACATGATGGGTAACAGAGAGCGACGAGGCGTGAATTTCAAAGGCTTGCTGAGGAGGAATTGGCTCTTGATTGCCACGGTTTTATCAGTGCTGCTCGGTATGTGGAAGCCCCCTTAATGTCTGCTCATGTGTGCTGAGAGAATGAGACGCTTTCATCTTCACAGATGCCATTTTTTACCTTATCTTCATTGCTGTTTATCTCCATGCCTCCTTCTTTGTTTCAGTCTTGCTTTCAGCTGCTGTCACTGAAATAAATCAACCTCTTTTGCATCAGCTGGCTGCTGCTTGACTAAAGAGCAACAGTAAAGGCTGAGATGTGTGTTAAGGAGCACAGGCATTTGTGTTTCATCATTAGCTTTCATTAAAGGAAGGAGGATGGGCACTGAGTTGAGTGGTGGTGTTGTGGGAGACATAGCTTCTGTCTTCCCCCCCTATGTCTGGACGTGTCTCAGTCAAACGTGACCAGACTGAGGGGACAGCTGATGGGTCTATGTGAGGAGTCCCAGCACTGAGGCAGCACAGTGCATAGAGGGTATACAGTATCATCAGGTGCTTCACACATATGGGCTTCAAATGTTTGTGATTGAGTTATTAGACAAATTGTCTTTTCATATCTTTGACTGAATCAAGATCAATGTCAATCTCATGCCTGTATCAGGGGGCAATTAGCCTAGCTTAGCATAAAGACTGAAAGCAGGTGGAAACAGCCAGCCTGGTTCTGTGCAAAGTAAAAAAAAAAAAAAAAGCCATGCAACACATGCCTAATGTGTATCTATCTATCTGCCCAGTCCTTATGCACAGCATCAGCTGTTGTTGGTCAAGAAGTAGCGTCTACTGAAATTGTAATTTTTACATGTGTTTGAGATGGATTGAAAAAGAAAGATTCACTGTCTTAATTAGCGAGCTTTAGAGGTGTTGGTAGGTGTATTTTTGAACTTGTGACTGAGACAGGCGTGTTTCCCTCTGCTTCCACTCTTTATGCTATTGATATGCAGTGTGTTATCTCACTGTCAGAAAGAAAGCAAATAAAACTTTTCCTTTAACCATTACTTTACTGTTTTACTCTGCCCTAAAGTAATTACACAAATTACAGACCTGAAATCAGTATTTTCCTGTTTTTGTCTGTGGAGTTCTGCGTGTCGGTAGTTGCATTTCTAGGTAACATTAAGAATACTTTTATAAAGTAAGTCCAGTTGAAATCGGCTTTCTTGTTCTGTGTTCTCCTCTTTTTATAATGTATTACCATCAGATCATTTATTCCTAAACTGTATCTGTGTAAAGTACCAACGTCAACAGTCACGGTGACTAACAGCCAGACAGCAGCCACAACAACAGCCACAGACTTTGTACTTTGTACCCATACTAGATTTTTAGCTAGTGTCTCCTTCCTTCTCTTCCCACAAACATGAACACGCCTTGTGTTGAACATTTGATTTTTAAGCTACCTAGTATTAGAAAGAATAATCAGTTTTGTAAAGTTTTTTGTGTAAAAAAAAAACAAGCAGAAAAAGAATAGCATTAGCATGCATCTGCAGGCTGGACTACCAACTGGGCAAAGTAGGCAATGGCCCCACATTCCAAGGGGCCCTAAAAGTCCCCAAGAGTCCCAGGTTCTGTACATGTCAGTAGGTTTGGGTAATTCCATTAATTGCAATTTATACCACAGAAGTGAAATATATGTGTTTTAAAAGGCCAAACATAATAGACCTTTTCACAGCAGCCACTTTGACATAAAATAGGAGGGTAAAGAAGGCAGGTGTTAGTAATGATACTAATTAATTAAGGTTCCGTTCAGTCAGGGTGCTGCATGTTGGTTCAGACTTCCTACAGTAAATAAGACAGAGCCTTTATTACTGTCATTGGTAAAGCCTGTGTTTACCCTACTGTTTTACGTCAAAATGAAAAAGGTCTATTAGGGCTTTATTACAAGGACAGGAGTGCATGCAGCAGTTTAACTTCATGAAGTGGTAGTGGGCTTGAGGATAAATTAAGCCCTATTAGATCCTATTAGAAGTATAGACCTTTTTATAGTAATAGTAGGGTAATAGTAGGGTAGACACAGGTGTTACCAATGGTATTAATTAATGTTCTGATCAAGTCAAACAGAGTGAAGATGTTGTGTGCATGTTGGCTAACACTTGCTACACTAAATGGAACTGACATTGGTAACACCTGTGTTAACGCTACTATTTCATGTCAAAATGGCTGCTGTGAAAAAGGTCTATTAAAATAGACGGATAGGAGAATTGTAAATGTTGTATTTATTTTTTGGGCTTTGTTTATTACAATAAAAACTCTGAAAATGTTGAGGGTCATCAAATAATGAATATACATTCACCAACAGCTATATGACATTGAAGTTTACTGAAATTAAATTGAACTATTCATCAACTCTTTTAGTTAAACTATTGGACAAATACAAATTGGGACCTAAATGTAAACTCAGCATTAAAATTCAGACTGCTATTCTGCTATCATCAAGGATTTTTGGTACCACCTCGGTCTAGGCTGCAAGCAATCTGAGTTTATTCTAAAAGGTTATATGAAACCACTACAGATGACTGCTTGGTCCCGTGACACGGGACATTTTGCACAAACAATGGATTTTTCAATGTTTTATTCCTTCAAAAAAGTAGAGGTACCGAAAGCAAGTCGAGTCGAATCATACTGCACCATGCAGTGGAAACACAGCTTAAAAGGCCCAGCAGGTTTGTCAGTTGACTAATCAGACCCTTTCAATGTCATTACTGCCTCATTTCAACTAAAAACACATTTTTAATGTCTATCAATGGCATTTCAGGCAGAAGGAGACAAGCACGGTGAGATGTCTTGTTCCTGCGTTTCCTGGCCAAAATTCTACTTTTACAAAATCGTGAACTTTTTATTAAATGATACACTTCTTTGGATTTGAGAATGACTAACTTCACACAGAGTACCTTTACTTTCACAGTCAGTGCTGAAGTGTTCAGTTGCCACTGCAGTATTGGCGGCAGTGCTCAAGTTACCGCTCAGTTGATGGATTTGTCTATATTTTCCTAAAGTTCCTTGTTAACCTGAAGTGGTAAATGAGATATTACATATCATAAACTGGATGATGGTTACTGAAATTCACATGGAAAAACAATCCCATACAAATAATTAGCCAAAAATGGTAAATCTATAGCTTCACTGAGGAGGTGTATCATTTATGTGTTACAAACAAAGCGTCAAAGAAAACAGCAGCTCTAAAAACAGAAAACTGCAGCTGTAACACTTAATGCCTTAAAGTGTTAAAATTGTAGCAACTGTTCTGTAGTGTCATTTAGCAACCACATTTTTTAAGACACGTAAAAGCTTCGGAATTCACAAGTGGGGTATTTATTGGCATATTTCAAGTCGTAGAACAAAATGCTAATGTTAACCAAATACCTTTTTTCAGGCATCTAACCAAAAACCCATTCAAAAGCACCCAGTGACTTTGAGGAGAGGGAACCGGAAATGCTAGTGCCTTTCAGGACTCATTCCTGCAGCAGGGTAGAATAAGGACCAAACAGCTCCACTTTGAGGACAACCTGCAGCTTGCTAAATGTGAAAGATTGAGTGAGCTCCAGGCCAGCTGCACCAGGTGCTTCAGATCTACAGATGCCAAAGTATAGGCATCCACGCACAGTTTGCTGTGTCATCGCAGTGTTTTACAGGCATCTTTAATGGTGGTCTGGTATGCGTGATAACAGATGGAGGTTTGGAGTGCATTACTAATATCATTGAGTGGGATACATGTGAGGTTTATAGCTGGATCAAAGTGTGTTGTGCCTCATGAAACCTCACTGATGTGTGAAATAATGTGACAGTTTCTCATGCAGAGCAAATTCTGCATTCATTTAATTGACATATTACTAATTCTAATGTTTTTTATAGTGAAGTTGCATTATGCTTGTCCATTCTACTTGAGCCATGTATATATGCTGCCACCACTGCTGTCTGCTCTGTGATCCAAGCACTTTCTTCAGCTGAACCCAAGACTTCTTTCTCCCTGTCTTTCAGGGATCAGTTTGGGCGTCGTGGTCAGAGAGTATGCGTCCCTCTCCCACCTCCACAAGCAGTATTTTGGCTTCCCAGGAGAGATCCTCATGCGAATGCTGAAGCTTGTCATCCTCCCACTCATCATTTCAAGCATGATAACAGGTAACTGGAGTATGATTTCTGGTTGTAGTCATAGCCTCACCAAATGGCACATGAATAACACAACATTAGACTTTCAAACTGTGTGCAGTGCATTTGGCAAACCTAACTTCTGTGACGAGACTTTGTGTAAAGAGTCCACATATGGAGGAGGTTGAAACACAGGACTTTCACCTGGAAGACTGCAATTCGTATCCCGTTTGAAACCAAAAGTCAGCTCTGACTTATCTTAACTTACACAACATATTTAAAGGTCCTGTGTGTAACATTTAGAAAGATCTACTGGCAGAAATGGAATATAATATTTATAGGTATGTTTTCATTAGTATATAATTACCTGAAAATACGAATTCTACAGTAATCCTAGTCCTACACACCTTTAACTAAGTAATTTTGTGCCTAAACCTAACCAAAGTGCGACCGTTTTACAACGTTACCAACAGAGGTCATCTGACCACGGCCACGAAGGTCATCTTCTTTCTTTCCTGTGCGTCCAAAATCCACAGAAGTTAATGGGAAGGATTTACGTGACAACCAAAAGCATTAAAAGAAATGAGTCTTAAAAGTGTGAATTGAGTTCATGTAGACAGGTCCATACTGAAGGTATGATGATCCAAGACAACACAATCAACAAGTGACTAGAAGTTCATTCATTTCCTGTAGAGGTGAGCAGCAGCCCAGGAATTACATTAATTCTGGACGATTGTAAAGAACAATATTTTTTAATTACAATGCCAGTGTTCAGCACCAGTGCAGAAGGCAGTGTGAAAGTGCATGCCTAGAGGTTGAGAAGGTGGGGGCGTGCATGGCCTTAGCCAGCAATGAGGTCTGGACCTCTGTAATTATTTCCTAAAACATTAGATTTTGATTCAATTTTTAAAAACAACGTGGATAAGGATTTAAAACGTCTGTCAATTTGACATGACAAGATTTCCTAGCTCCTTTTGCTTTCCAATGCTGTGCCTTCAAATCACAATTACCTAAAGGTAGTCAGGTGCCATATTTATCCCTATAATTCGTTGATCAATACTGAGAAATAGCTCTTGTTCTTAATGCACATAAGAATTAGATTTACAATATTTTATTACTTATTTTAAGGGGCATATTATGTCTTAGTATATTTACCAACAATTTTGATAATCGATTCATATTGCAAGTCATTTTTCAAGATATTTAACTGAATATCTTGGGTATTTGTAATGAACATTTTCCAACAATGACAAAAGAATTCATCAATCAATTGTCACAGAGAGATGAACTGACAATAAGTAATTAGTTTCAGTCCTACTGGACAGTCACAAATTTTGAGAAATGTATAGCTGACAGCAATAGCTCTGCTAATGAGATGCAATCAGAGCGTGTCAGGCTGTGTAGTTTGTTTGCCTCCAGTCTGAATGCAATGATAACCATCTCTGCCTCTGTTCTGCTGTCTACAGATAGGATACCCTGGGGATTACCATTCACAGTGGGATAACGGATACTCAGGGGGTGAATGTTGAAAAATGTAATTTAGGAGCTGCATTACATCTTCTCTAACTAATCCCTTCACCTCATCCACAGCAGCACATCAAGGCTCCCTGCTGAAATGGAATTAGGCCTACAGTTCAGTCTTACCGCTGCAAATTGAAGCAAATAGATTGATCTTGCTTATCAAACATGTTGGTTGGATGTTTGTTGGTTGTGTTGAGCATTTTGTTCCATTGTTTGTCCGTGGCAGCTGTTCTCAATTTATTTGTTCAGGATTTGTTTTTCCCACCTGCATTTCCCTGGAGATTTCCCCACCTGCGTACCATTATTGTGTACCACAACTTACTCAAGAATACAGGCAGGCCTGTATGAATGAGAATGGCTGGTTGCACTCACCCAACAGTTTATTCAGCTTTCACTTTAATTCAAGCTTTCTTGGTTATTGATACATGTTATAATTATGAAGACTACCAATATTTCTAGAATTGGCACATTTGATTTCTCCCATGTTTTAAGTCAAATAATTTATGGATTCCCACAGTTTGATGTTCCAACCGTGAACCACAACGTTCATTGTCCAGCAAGGGACCTTTGGTGAACGACATTCCCAACTTCTGTATGCCCATTGCACTGTCAGTGATCAAATAAAGGCTTGAAGTGTAAAAATAACTTCATTATCATGAAGTGATGGCTGAACTAATGGAAGTTTGCAGTTTAAAGCTCAGTTAAAAAGTTAGTAAGTGTACTTTAAAATCAAAATTTTGTAAAACTACTACTTCCAAAGCCTTTTTAGTAAAGGAAAGCATCTACAAACGAATGTACAGAAAGTGTTCATATCAACATGAATGTCAATGTACATAAAGAAATAACATGTGTTTAACCAATTCTACCTACACCTGTTCTGCCTGTGGTATTTTTTAATCTTTAGAACTGAAGGCCTTCAAGGATTTAGTATATACTGTCAGAGTGCTTTGATGGTAGAGAGACTTTATATCTTTAAGGTTTCAGATAAAACGTTGTGTTGCTGGTTGAATGTTAAAGGCCCACACTGTACATTTTGATCAGATAAACGATTATATACTCACATATAAATGTGAACACTTTCGATCATTTCGAAATTCTTGCACGATTTTCAAGTGATCAGACAGAATCTCCAGTCTTGTTTTTTGTTACTTGGTGGGACAAGGTTTTTACTTAGATTTCGGTCATTTGCTTTTTGATTGTGCTTTTTGTCCACAGGTGTCGCAGCGCTGGACTCTGAGGTCTCAGGAAAGATAGGCCTGCGAGCTGTTATTTATTACTTCTCAACAACCATCATTGCAGTTATACTTGGTGAGTTGATATTTCCCCTCTCTCGCCCCCCTTACTTTACCTCTCTCACTGTATTTAAATTATCCTGTTCATTTCAGTGATATTGTTGTCATTGAAGCATACTGATCGGTGTCATCCTTTGTAGGCATTATTTTGGTAATGACCATCAAACCGGGAGTCTCTCAGACGGCTGAGCACATTGACAGAGCTGGAACCACGCCCAACGTCACAACAGTTGACACACTCTTGGACCTCCTCAGGTGACCTCACAGCCACGAGACAATTTCTCAAATTTCTCATCCCCCTGAAGTGTCCTCTCACTCAAATGCTAAAGTGAAAGACTGCAGGTCTTCTAAAACTGAAATATGTGTCGTTCAACCATTTCAAAAGTGTTCAGACTTGTTCTGAATAGCAAAAAAAATAAAAATTAATTGAGGGATGTGATTGGATTTCAAATCAACAGGGGAGTGACAACAAAAGTAAGGCTGTAACGACTTATTTTTATGGGGGGTGACTGTAATATTGTTACTGAAATTTTATTAGTAATTCACTTACACTACTCGTTATAGTAATATTATTACTGTAATATTGTTACTATAACCCAACACTCCTCGAAACATTACATCAACTCAGGCAGTTATGTCAACTCGAAACTTTACATTAACTCAACTCAAAACCATTCCAGAGCTCTGTGGTTCACATATCCAAGTTATCAGTTTTTTCTAATTAACTGAACAACTAAACAATGAAAAGTTACACTACAACATTCAATTGACAAATCTTGGCATTCCTGGGGAAGGCATCTGCAAAGAACTGATGTTTTAACTCCATTACCTCTGAAGTACTTAACCAGATTCTTCTTCTTTACCAATATGAAAATAATTCTCTGCTCATTACAATGACCCATCTGTCAAGGAATGATTGTCGTACACATCATTATCTTCTGTGTCTTTCATTCACCCCTAATCTTGCCTTTTCCATCAACAGAAACATGTTTCCAGAAAATCTGGTGCAGGCTTGTTTTCAGCAGGTAAGAGGCTTTGCCGGTCCATCATTCATTCTTGTAACACTTTCTACTTTCTAAGCCTAAATTAGGGTCAGGTGTGTATATAGTAACCATGTGAATATAACTGATGTTGTGAAATATGACCAATGCTGTAGTACAAGACCAAGCGCAAAGAGCTGGAGCCTCCAAAAGTTTCAGAAGACACTACTACAATTCCACCTTTGACAACTACCGTCATGGAGGTGCTACAGGTAGGTGTGCACATTATTCTCTTCCGTTCATCTTTGATGCATTGCTTTGTTTGTCAAGCAGGCAAAGCTTTATTTGCACCAGCGTTTTCTGTAGCAAACAGCATTTATATGACTGTCCTGACATGACAACAGTACGTCCTTGTTGATCCATCTGCTGCACTTAACGTTTCATGTTTCTGCACCTGGCAGCCAGTGTCTGATATAAATGCATCAGAAGACCCAATAATGAGTCATGAGTAGCTATGGGTCATTGGGCTGTGATCCTGTAGAAAACATTTGCACAGCTCATCAATGGGTCTTTAGAGTCGGCTAATGTGGTTGTGAAAGCAGCTTCCTGGCCTGGTCTTGGTTAGCTGAATGAATCGCCTCCTTGTTTCGTCTCTTGGCAGAATATAACCAAGGACTATAAAATCATCGGGACATATTCGGATGGAATCAACGTATTGGGGCTTATCGTGTTCTGTGTTGCTTTTGGCCTCGTCATCGGGAAGATGGGCGAAAAGGGCCGTATCCTCTTGGAATTTTTTGATGCCCTGAATGAAGCAACCATGAGACTAGTCCAGATAATTATGTGGTATGTATAAAAGACTGGGTGAAGTGCTTTGGCCCCATGCTTTTCCTTATTAAAGTCTTTACTTTACACTGACAAAAAGGCCTTTTGATCTTGGAAACAGTTTAGCAAAACAAAGTCTTGAGTCAAGGTTCACTTACTAGCTTTTTCCAGGGTTTTTAAATGTCATTGTGTGATCTTCCACACCTAATGGGGTTATTAGCTTGGGGCTGCAAATTCCATGCCCTGACTGAGGGTTTTAGGGAAATTGTACTTTGAGGTATGATAAGATA